AATAAGTAGCGGCCAGAATACATAAATTCAGGTGCAAAAGGAGATGGGTCTACTGGTATGGCTCGCTGGCCAGCCCGCTGGACGAGGAATAAGGGCCAAGGCACAAAATGGCCCTCTACCACAACTGAACATTATGCTAATAACTAACGCATTGCATGACCTCCCTACCCATTTGAGGGCAGTCCTCGGCATCGCCCTTCTGAAATTCCTTGCGCCAGGCACCAAAACTTGAACGTGGTGAAAGAAAACACCCGTGGATCAACCATGCCACACAACGAATTGCCACACCAACTGAGTTCGAGAAAATGCAGCGATGAGGACTACCTTACCCGGGCATAACGGTTAATCGGCAACACAAACGCTTTATATCGAGAGGAATAACTGACTACTAATTAAACCGTCTCATCTTCGTTTGGATCTAGTGTTCTTTCACGAGGGCCGACACCTGCCCTCGTCTGCTGAGCATGAGAGAGAAATGGCCAAAGCCGGAGTTTTCCCTGCGCCACTGTGGACACAGGGACAACTCCCATTTACCAGTTCCATGCTCTTCGTCAATTTAATCAGTCCACGCCAGAGAGGACTAAATTCGTTCAAGCGCAAAAAATAATCAGCGTTTGACTAGAATCTAAAAGTGCTAACATTCGAGAAATGATCTGCCAAGCATATATAAGCCACCTTGTCAACATCAATTCCATCTTCACGAATCTACGCATCTTTGCTTGCCACCCATACACAATGACAAAATCCCTTGGCATTCAAGCGATTCAATCCCAATTTATCTGCCACATGCATAAGGAAGTACAGTTATTTCTGCTCTAAGTGACGTTCTGTGACTGCTTTGAAGACGAAGCAAGACACACTGCTCGGGTGGAATACATATATTAGCCATGCAGAAGAAATTAGGGTCACTGGAATGGCCCGAAGGCCAGCCCACTGGAGAAGCACAGTGGCATGGACAATGTAATCCTCTACCAAAACCGATCGTTCAACAAATAGCCAACGTACTACACTCTATTGCAGATGTATACCCATGCATTGACGCATACAAACAAAGACGTGGGTAGCAAACAACGCAAATCTGGTTCACCTTTTATGTCTATCGTCACAATATCATCCCCTGTTGTGCATATGTGCATCAACACATGCAATCATAGGTATAAATCGCATCTATACTGATCCTGAATGTTGGTCTATTTGGTCTACCGGGCAGCTCCTCTTCTAAGCCGCGCATAGGAGCGTGCATTCAGACCATCGGGAATTTCTAACCAATGTTAAGACAGAGGCACCTACTGACACTCTGCAAGCGAGATAGTGACGTGATGGTGAGAGCTAGGGGTAGGATGACTCCTTCTACATGCGTCTTAGGGTCACCACGTGTCATTAAAGAACTTGGCTCCCCTCCTCCTCTCAAAATGTCAACTGACGTGATTGGAAGATATCACCGCACAATTGAGACGCAATGCATTTGACCATTGTAAAAATATTTTCGGAATGGCCAGTGAATGTGCAGAGTCTGTGAATAATAGATTCCAAATACCACGAATTGTTAGAAGTAGGTTTCAAATGCAATCATCTTTTACAATCATCTAGGGTGTGCGATTTCGACTTTCAAATGAATAAGGATAAATGATCCCAACTAAAGCAACATGTGATTAAAATCCGCTCAATGAAGGTTACGTGAGGATCCGCAAATGAATTGCTCCACAGTCTGGACCTCAGCGAACATATGGGATGGGCGCAAGTCTAAGCGTGGGAGC